GTGCTGGGCGGGGCCGGGTGCCAGCTGTCCGCCGTCCCCACAGCCCAGCTGCCGGCACACGGCGGCGGCGGTGCCGGGGCTGGTGCCATTGGCGCACACGCGGCCCCAGGTGCCGTTGTGGAGCAGCTCCAGGTACCCGCTGCAGCGCCCGCGGCCGCCCGCCAGCCGCAGGGAGAGCTGCTCTGCAAGGGGTGCAGGGGGGTCACGGCACGGCCGGGAACCCCCCGAGGGGCTCTGCTGGTCCCCGCCCCGCGGACAGCCCGCACTGACCTGAGCAGACGGCCCCTGCCCCGGCCCCGCGCTCGCACTCGCGCCGTTCCGAGCGCGGGCATTCCCAGAGAGACTCCTCGGTCCCGGCGCAGTCAAGGACGTACGGCCACAGCGTCCCCGTGCCGGGGCCGAAGCGCGCCGAGCCGGGCGCCTCCAGTGCCGCGCCACAGCCCAGCTCCCGGCACACAACGGCGGCGGCCTGGAGGCCCCAGCGCTCCTGGCAGATGGTGCTCCAGGTGCCACTGGCATAAACCTCCACGCGCCCCGCGCAGCGCCCGGCACTGCCCGCCAGCCTCACCCGCCGGCTGCCTGTGGGCACGGAAGGACTGGGCTGAGGGGCTGCTCGGGGCACCAGCACCCCAGCTCTACTCGGGACACCCACCTGAACAGACGATGGCTGCCCCATGAGGGATGTTGGTCGGCCCAGTGGTCATTGACAATACTGTTAAGGGGCTAATCGCGACATACACTTCCTGGGTGCTGAAGGTCATATTCAAGACGGTGTGAATCACCCTTTCCATAATCTTCTGCTCCGAATCGCTCACGGTCCATAAGGAGTTCGTACCAACAACAGCATCACTTTTGTCCAGCCCACCGCAGCCCAGCTTCCCACACACCACACTGAAATTCCGTTCGGACAAAACCTCTCCTGGCACACGGTGCCAGACCCCGGGGCTTGTAGCCAATTCCATCCACCCGTCGCACCGGCTCTCACCCTCCACCAGCTGCAGGGAGTTGACGATGCCTGCAAAATAACCTGGCTCAGCACTCCCCTCATCCCAAAACACCCCTGAGTGCTCCGCTCCCAATTCATGAGGTGTCCCAAAAGGCCTTGAAGGCTCTTCCCACAGGTGCCACACAGACCTGAGCAGTTGACAGCGGCGGCATTCCCCGGGGTGCAGGGAGGCTTCCCCAGCACTGCCACAGGGCACTCTCCCGGGTGCCGCTCGCTCCCGCTGCAGCCAAAGGCGTCCGGCCTCAGCGGCCCGTCCCCACTGCCAAAGGAACCTCCTGGGAGCACGGTGACAGCATGGCCACAGCCCAGGTGGAGGCACAAGACGTCGGCATCGGGCAGGTCCCAGTCGGTGGCGCAGACGGACCCCCACGTGCCCCTCACCGCCACCTCCACACGCCCGGCACAGCCCGAGCTGCTGTTCCCCAGCCGGAAGCCCGTGTAGGCTGTGGCAGAAAGGGCGTTGAGGGGGGTGATGGTGCAGGGACCCCCAACACCCCCGGTGTCCCCGGTGCTTACGGGAGCAGATGATGGTGGCGTGGCCAGCGCAGCTCTGGCTGTGGGGCACCTGTCGGGCGCAGGCGCTGAGGAGGGGCTCGGTGCCGGTGCAGTTGAATCCCCCCTCCCAGAGCGGCCCCGTTCCCGCCCCAAACTGGCCGCTGCCGGGCATGGCGAGCACCGCGCCGCAGCCCAGCTCCCGGCACACCACCTGGGCCACCTTCATGTCCACGTGCTCCGCGCACACACCAACCCAGGCCTGGCGCTGCCGCACCTCCAACCGCCCGGCACAGGCTCCATCACCCCCGACCAGCCGGGAAAACCCTGCGGGAGCGGCACAGCGTTGGCACTGAGGGATGTGCCGGGAGCGCTGTGTCCCTCCCAGCCTGGCTCCTACCTTGGCAGACGACGGCAGTGTCAAAGTCATGGGTACCGTTGTAGGGTCCCCAGCCACGGATCTCGCAGTCCCAGAGCGTGGCCTCATCCCCGTTGCAGTCCACCAGGGCCAGGTTGATGGGCCCGGCCCCTGCACCAAAGCGGTCGCGGGCAGCGTAGGCGCCGATCGCCGAGCCACAGCCCAGCTGCTGGCACACCACCTCGGCGTCCTCCATGTCCCAGATGTCATCTCCCACTGAGCCCCAGCGTCCTCGCAGCTTCACCTCCACCCTCCCGGCACAGGGACCACCGCCGGCCACCAGCCTCAGCTCCACGGCCTCTGCACCGGGGCACCGGCAAAGATCAGCCCTGCCCGGAACACCCCGGCACGAGGTGGGTTCCCCGGCATGGCCAGCCCGGCCCCCTCACCTGCACAGATCACTCCCACATCCCGCTCGTGGCCGCAGAAGTGCTGGCCCCATTCGAAGTGCGGACACTGCTCCAGCACCTCCTCGGTGCCGCGGCAGAAGAAGGGCTGGAGCCAGATCCGGCCGGTGCCCTGCCCGAACGGGGCGTACGGGGACGCCGAGGCCACGCGGCCACAGCCCAGCTGCCGGCACACCACCGTGGCCCAGCGGGCCTCCCAGTCGAACTCGAAGACGCAGACAGAGCCCCACTCACCGCTGTGATTCACCTCCACGCGTCCGGCACAGCGCCCGCCGCCGCCCACCAGCCGCAGCTGCCCCGAGCCTGCGGCACGAAGGATGCTGAGCCGGGTCCGGCACCGGTGGGTCCCCGCTCCCACCACCCCGGCACTCACCCCCACAGAGCCGCAGGCACAGGAGCAGCCCCAGCGCCCCGACAGGCCCCATCCCACCGTCCCGCACCCCCAGTGCAGGCGGCGGAGGTATCGGCAGTGCCGGAGCAGTGGAGGCGGCAGCACCAGGGCAGCCTTTATCAGGCGGGGGATCTCCCAGCTGCGGGGCCACGGCCTCCAATAACCTGCTTCGTGCCCAAATATGAGGCTCGGCTGCGCTTCTGGCGTCACACACCTCGCCACAGTGGGCCGGCACACGGATGTCCCCGGGGGAGCCGGCCCCCCCACAGCACCTGGGCCGAGGGGGCCCCTCCTCTATCCCCCCGTGGGTCCAACTCTGCCGCTGGAGCCTGGCAAGAGCCATCCCCCTGCTGACAGCATTCACCCCCAATCCCGCCAGAGCCTCCACGGGACCGTCCCGAGGAGCAGCACGAGGCAGAGCCCCAAGGCCCCGTCCCCGGGTGCCCCCTCCCCGGGCGGTGGGAGCAGCCCCGGCTCCCCGCGGGGGCGGCAGGTCCCGGTCCCTCGCGCAGGCGGTGGCACATGGCGCTGCTGCCGCAGCTGTGCCCCCGCGCTCGCCTCGCCCCGGGGCAGGAAGGAGGCGGTTACCGCCCGGCGGGGACGCGGCGTCCGCACCGACCGCACGCGGCTCCTGACACCTGCACCGGCACCGATAACACCGGGACTCTGCGCTGCCCGCGCCCCGCGGCTCTGTCCCGCTGCAGCTCCGGAGCCTCAGGAGCCGCAGCGTTAAGGAGATGTCCCAGTCTGATCAGTTCCTGCGACTCCCTGTCGTTACGCTCCCAGTGCCAGAGACTTTCACTGCTGGGAACAAAACTCTGAAGATCTGCTCTGATGGAAAGTTCGAAAAATGTAGCTCCTCAGAATGAGAAAGATTTCTGCTTCCTGGAAAATCTGTTTCCAACCGAACTCAGAAAGTACACACTAGAGGCTCAGGGAAAAGGAGAAGACTGAAGCAATGACCCTTCCAGAAACCCATCAGAACTCACTGGCACTACTTCCAAGGCTGCTGGAGCTCCTTGGGAAAGTCTGGAAAACTCTCAGAAGCCAGGCTGATTTGTCCTGGTTTGTCCCAGTCTCTTCCTGGACTTCAGCTGCTTTTAGCACAGATGCTGCTGTCTCAGTAAGAATCCTGGAGATTCCCTGGGCAGCTGATCCACTGTGTCCTGCTCTTAGTTCCTGCCCAGCCAGAGCCAACCATGCCAAGGGCACAAGCACTTACACCCTGGATAGGGAAGGGGGGACTGGCTTGAGTAGAATTCACCTAGGAAGTAAAGCAAGGGGATTGTTGGAGGATCTGGCTCCTTAGGGAACCTGCTGGGAGTAGAGAAGCACGACCCTAAATCTCCAGCTGTTGCGGGTGGAGTCGTGGAACATAAAACAGCACAGAGCGATACCCCAAAATGAACCGTGGGAGAGCAGGACCAAATGAGGGTCACTGTCACTGTGGAAAGGCAAAAGGAATTGGTTGAGACTTGGATTGTCCCCTTGGGAGATGCTGGTTGCTGGGATTTAGAGAATGCCCTGCCTTAGAATGCCGACATCTCTCAGTGCAGCGGCTTTCGCTGACACGGCAGCACAAAGATTGTTCACTGTGTGGAGCCAGGGTTTGGGTTCCGGGATCAGCTTTGCAGGTTTAGATGAATTCTACCCACAGCCCATAGTTCCACGCGGAATTCCTGCTGGAATAGCCTCCCATTGCCTCATGGAGCCCAGATCTTCCCCTGCAGGGCTACCGCTTCAATGCCAGGTTTGCCAGGAAACAGCCAAGGGTCCAGGTGTGCTCAGCGGGATCAGGACAAGGACAGGTTGATATTGCATGGAATTTGCTGTTTATAACCCTCATGCCCATCCCCATTGATGGCCCTATGGGGGACAGCTCTGGTTGCCTGGAAATGACCTGAACGAACAGTTTTGCTGTTGGATCTGGTCTCTCCCTGGCCGAATTATGGAGCAGAAGCACTAACACTGGCCCAGCTCTCAGTTCTGCAGCTGTAAATCTTTGTATCCTGTAAAATATGTTGAGTTTAAGAACGTTTCCCTGTGTTGAAATGTTTATGTATTTTGTCTGTTTCCTTCCTTTTGGAAGGTGAAAGTTCATTAAACACTGGATTTATCACTCTTCTTGCTTCCAGTGGGGACTACTGGCTACTCTGTTTAAACTGGTGACTGAAAATTTGATACTAAAATGGAAATAATTTTGTTAAATACTTGGGAAGACTTTTCATAATATGATTTTTTCCCCCTTGCCTTTCCTAGTGATGATCCCAGTCCATAATCTTTCTGGTAATTTTCTTTTGGATGCTGCAATCTGCTGGGCTGGGGGAACTGTTCATTCACATTTCAGTTTAATTTTCGATATTTCATTAATTCTCTGTGGAAATCTGCTTTTAATAAAAAGGAGCATGAGGGTATTGATGTCATCACATATTCCTAGGATTCAGGTGGATGTTCATGCAGACCAAGGATTTTTTTGGATAGAAGAAGATGCACCAAAATCTCCAAGGAATCTCAGTCTGGGTTTTTCTTTTCTCCTAATTCTCCTTGGTTTGGGGGTGCAGTGCAGCCGTGCCATGTCTATCTCTTTTAAGAGTTTTTGGAGCTAAAAAGGTTCTTTTGTATTCTGCAATATTTATATATCTCTTGATTAAAAATAATAATATAATATAATTTTGATTTGGTTTTAATTTGTTCATTTGAGGTGGTTAATTAAAGCAAATCCTTGATAAGGGAGTGTACTGAGATCGAGCTCGGGCTGCAGGGGACTGTCAGGCCTTAGTGGCTGTGAATTCATGTAAAAACTTCTTGCTCCAGGATTCATTTTTCCTCCCAGCACAAGCAGGAGCAAACCGTTCTATGGATTTTCTCTGCAGTGGAGTGAGATCATAGGAATTCAGAAGTAATTTAGTAAGGAGCAGACTGGCAGAGCAAAAGCCAAACCTGTTCTCAATTGCATGGCTTTCACTATCAGCTGGATCCCACTTCCCTCTCATGGCTGGATTATCCATGTACATCCCACTCCAGTGAGATGAAACCTCATCTTCCTCAGGTTCTTGCATAAAATTCCCAGTCAGAATGTTATGGCCAGCATCATCCCTCTTAATTCCTGACAGCCTGGAATACTTGGTTTATTTTCCTTCCTTGGCCTGAACAGCTGCCTGATGGAGCACATGGAGCCCAGCACCAGCCAGGCTGGAGGTGTCCCGGTGGTGTCTTGGGGTTGGCAGAGTCCAGCTGCACTCTGGAGAGAGGAAGTAGAGAGCTGCGGGAGCCTGAGCAAGCAGAATTGCTGATTTTTAATTCACAACCTCGGAAACTGGGGGTTTGGAGGTGCAGTGGTGCCCACAGCTCCTTTGTGGCGCGGCTGCAACGAGGCTGAGCCCTGGCCCTGATTGCCCAGGCAGGGGGTTCTGTGCCAGCCGGGGGAGCAGCGGGGCCCCTGAGGCAGAGAGGGCGGGGGGGGCTGTGGAGCTGCCCTGGGGGCAGTGGGGGGGACTTTCCCGGGCCACCGCCTCCTGCCCCCCTCGGTGCCGCCCCAGCCCACCGGGGCCACTGCCGTCGGGCCGTGAGGGAGCAGGAACGGCGAATGTCCCCACGGCTTGGGCCTGTGGGGAGCGGGGATGGGGAATGGGGAACGGGGAATGTCCCCCCGGCTCCCGGGGACTCCGCACAGGGGTCGTGGTCACGGGCCGGGGCCGTGGGCGGGAGGGCCGCGTCGTTCTGCTCTGCTTCCCTCCTACCCCGGGCCTCTTCCAGCGCTTGTGACGGACACGGTGCCGTGTCCTTGGAAGGGTAGGAGGTGCTGACGGTGTCCCCGGGAACCACTGGCGGGGTCCTCGCCCGCCGCAGGGAGACCGCAGCCACGCCGTCCATCGCTGCCGGCCCGGTCGTGTCTCGGTGCGGGCGGCAGGGCCGGGTTGTGGCAGGTCCATGCGACACAATGGGGACAGCCCAGGGCTCTCCAGGGTTGGGACCAGCCCCACAAGCCATGGCGGGATGACACGGGGTCGCTGGCAGGTGGCGGGAGCCCGGTCCCTCACGGGTTGGCGGCACGTGGCGGTGACTGCGCCGCTGGAAGTGTGACCCCGCCGGGAACACGCTGTTCCTCCGGCACTGGCACTGCTCGGCGTTGCTGGAGGGGCTGCTCAGCCCCGTCCTCACCCTCACGCACAACCGAGACGCCGAGGGAGATCCCGCTCCCCCCTGCCGCATGCCTTGTTTGCGCTGGTGCTCGGCGCCGGCTCGCCCAGGCGGTTCCCCCAGCGCCGAGTGGGCTCTGTGCCCCCCCGTGCCCTGCCCGTGACCAGATGCCGGCGCGCAGAGTCCCGGCGTTATCGGTGCCGGTGCAGGTGTCAGGAGCCGCGTGCGGTCGGTGCGGACGCCGCGTCCCCGCCGGGCGGTAACCGCCTCCTTCCTGCCCCGGGGCGAGGCGAGCGCGGGGGCACAGCTGCGGCAGCAGCGCCATGTGCCACCGCCTGCGCGAGGGACCGGGACCTGCCGCCCCCGCGGGGAGCCGGGGCTGCTCCCACCGCCCGGGGAGGGGGTACCCGGGGACGGGGCCTTGGGGCTCTGCCTCGTGCTGCTCCTCGGGACGGTCCCGTGGAGGCTCTGGCGGGATTGGGAGTGAATGCTGTCAGCAGGGGGATGGCTCTTGCCAGGCTCCAGCGGCAGAGTTGGACCCACGGGGGGATAGAGGAGGGGCCCCCTCGGCCCAGGTGCTGTGGGGGGGCCGGCTCCCCCGGGGACATCCGTGTGCCGGCCCACTGTGGCGAGGTGTGTGACGCCAGAAGCGCAGCCGAGCCTCATATTTGGGCACGAAGCAGGTTATTGGAGGCCGTGGCCCCGCAGCTGGGAGATCCCCCGCCTGATAAAGGCTGCCCTGGTGCTGCCGCCTCCACTGCTCCGGCACTGCCGATACCTCCGCCGCCTGCACTGGGGGTGCGGGACGGTGGGATGGGGCCTGTCGGGGCGCTGGGGCTGCTCCTGTGCCTGCGGCTCTGTGGGGGTGAGTGCCGGGGTGGTGGGAGCGGGGACCCACCGGTGCCGGACCCGGCTCAGCATCCTTCGTGCCGCAGGCTCGGGGCAGCTGCGGCTGGTGGGCGGCGGCGGGCGCTGTGCCGGACGCGTGGAGGTGAATCACAGCGGTGAGTGGGGCTCTGTCTGCGTCTTCGAGTTCGACTGGGAGGCCCGCTGGGCCACGGTGGTGTGCCGGCAGCTGGGCTGTGGCCGCGTGGCCTCGGCGTCCCCGTACGCCCCGTTCGGGCAGGGCACCGGCCGGATCTGGCTCCAGCCCTTCTTCTTCTCTGTCCCTAGTTTGGCTGGGGCCACAGGTGGGATGTGGGGGTGATCTGCGCAGGTGAGGGGGCCGGGCTGGCCATGCTGGGGAACCCACCTCGTGCCGGGGTGCTCCGGGCAGGGCTGATCTTTGCCGGTGCCCCGGTGCAGAGGCCGTGGAGCTGAGGTTGGTGGCCGGTGGTGGTCCCTGTGCCGGGAGGGTGGAGGTGAAGCTGCGAGGACGCTGGGGCTCAGTGGGAGATGACATCTGGGACATGGAGGACGCCGAGGTGGTGTGCCAGCAGCTGGGCTGTGGCTCGGCGATCGGCGCCTACGCTGCCCGCGACCGCTTTGGTGCAGGGGCCGGGCCCATCAACCTGGCCCTGGTGGACTGCAACGGGGATGAGGCCACGCTCTGGGACTGCGAGATCCGCGGCTGGGGACCCTACAACGGTACCCATGACTTTGACACTGCCGTCGTCTGCCAAGGTAGGAGCCAGGCTGGGAGGGACACAGCGCTCCCGGCACATCCCTCAGTGCCAACGCTGTGCCGCTCCCGCAGGGTTTTCCCGGCTGGTCGGGGGTGATGGAGCCTGTGCCGGGCAGTTGGAGGTGCGGCAGCGCCAGGCCTGGGTTGGTGTGTGCGCGGAGCACGTGGACATGAAGGTGGCCCAGGTGGTGTGCCGGGAGCTGGGCTGCGGCGCGGTGCTCGCCATGCCCGGCAGCGGCCGGTTTGGGGCGGGAACGGGGCCGCTCTGGGAGGGGGGATTCAACTGCACCGGCACCGAGCCCCTCCTCAGCGCCTGCGCCCGACAGGTGCCCCACAGCCAGAGCTGCGCTGGCCACACCACCATCATCTGCTCCCGTAAGCACCGGGGACACCGGGGGTGTTGGGGGTCCCTGCACCATCACCCCCCTCAACGCCCTTTCTGCCACAGCCTACACGGGCTTCCGGCTGGGGAACAGCAGCTCGGGCTGTGCCGGGCGTGTGGAGGTGGCGGTGAGGGGCACGTGGGGGTCCGTCTGCGCCACCGACTGGGACCTGCCCGATGCCGACGTCTTGTGCCTCCACCTGGGCTGTGGCCATGCTGTCACCGTGCTCCCAGGAGGCTCCTTTGGCAGTGGGGACGGGCCGCTGAGGCCGGACGCCTTTGGCTGCAGCGGGAGCGAGCGGCACCCGGGGGAGTGCCCTGTGGCAGTGCTGGGGGAGCCCCCCTGCACCCCGGGGAATGCCGCCGCTGTCAACTGCTCAGGTCTGTGTGGCACCTGTGGGAAGAGCCTTCAAGGCCTTTTGGGACATCCCAGAAATTGGGAGCGGAGCACTCAGGGGTGTTTTGGGATGAGGGGAGTGCTGAGCCAGGTCATTTTACAGGCATCATCAACTCCCTGCAGCTGGTGGAGGGTGAGAGCCGGTGCGACGGGTGGCTGGAGTTGGCTATAAGCCCCGGAGTCTGGCACCGTGTGCCAGGAGAGCTTCTGTTCGAACGGAATTTCAGTGTGGTGTGTGGGAAGCTGGGCTGTGGTGGGCTGGACAAAAGCGATGCTGTTGTTGGTACGGTCCCCGTGTGGACCGTGCACAATTCGGAGCGGAATATTATGGAAAGGGTGATCCACACCGTCTGGAATATGACCTTCAGCACCCAGGAAGTGTATGTCATGCTAGACACCTTAAAACTCTGGACAATGACCACTGGGCCGACCAACATCCCTCATGGGGCAGCCATCGTCTGTTCAGGTGGGTGTCCCGAGTAGAGCTGGGGTGCTGGTGCCCCGAGCAGCCCCTCAGCCCAGTCCTTCCATGCCCGCAGGCAGCCGGCGGGTGAGGCTGGCGGGCAGTGCCGGGCGCTGCGCGGGGCGCGTGGAGGTTTATGCCAGTGGCATCTGGAGCACCATCTGCCAGGAGCGCTGGGGCCTCCAGGCCGCCGCCGTTGTGTGCCGGGAGCTGGGCTGTGGCGCGGCACTGGAGGCGCCCGGCTCGGCGCGTTTCGGCCCCGGCACGGGGACGCTGTGGCCGTACGTCCTTGACTGCGCCGGGACCGAGGAGTCTCTCTGGGAATGCCCGCGCTCGGAACGGCGCGAGTGCGAGCGCGGGGCCGGGGCAGGGGCCGTCTGCTCAGGTCAGTGCGGGCTGTCCGCGGGGCGGGGACAACAACCAGCAGAGCCCCTCGGGGGGTTCCCGGCCGTGCCGTGACCCCCCTGCACCCCTTGCAGAGCAGCTCTCCCTGCGGCTGGCGGGCGGCCGCGGGCGCTGCAGCGGGTACCTGGAGCTGCTCCACAACGGCACCTGGGGCCGCGTGTGCGCCAATGGCACCAGCCCCGGCACCGCCGCCGCCGTGTGCCGGCAGCTGGGCTGTGGGGACGGCGGACAGCTGGCACCCGGCCC